GTTTCTTTAGACAAACATATTTGCAGGTAGGAAGTCTGGAGATGCGTTGAGGCCTTTTCTGTTTTGCATAATACATAATTATAACTGCTTAAGAGTTTTTCTTTGGTCCTGATGTGGCAGGAAAAAAAAGTTTATTTTCAAAGTAGTGTTGCCTTAATACAGACTTTTAAAGTATGTATGCTAATCTTTCTTCATTACATAAGGAAAGAAATGAAAGATACTTTGCTGTCTTTATCTGGACTGGCTTTTCTTAAAGATCCTAATTTGAAATTTGTCCCCTCTTTGTTTTTTTTTCTTTTTTTTCTTCCCCTTAGATTTGAGTTCTGTGAACCTGCCTTTGTGGTTGGTAATTGTTTGGAAATAGCCTCAGACAGTCATCAGTATGACCGGATTTACTGTGGAGCTGGAGTCCAGAAAGACCATGAAAACTACATGAAAATTTTATTGAAAGTTGGAGGCATTTTAGTAATGCCTATAGAAGATCAGGTGACTTAGTGACAATTTCCCTTTTTATCTTCTAGTATGAAAAATACTTAATTTAAAGAATGCTTTTAAATGTATATTTGACTAAGTTAACATTCAACTAATATCTTGATTCAGTGTATTTGTGGCAGTTAAGCATATACTAGTCTTTGTAATGAAGTCTTGAACTTTTTTTTTTTAAACTTGTAGGAAAGCATCAATATCCTGCTTCCAGCAAAGTCTGTGGCAAAACTATCTTCAGTGATACTTGAACTCCATTCATGATATTTTCAGTGTATTATACCAGTCCCAGAACTGCTTTGAAATCTCTCTGCTGCAGTTATTTTCAGTTAGTACTTCAAAACGCAGAAACCGTCCTCTAAACCAAGAGAATTTATTTCTGATAAATATGAAATAGTTGTGATTTGTGGGACATTGTAAGGGGCTGGGGGAAAAAAGGAAGGAAAATGCGACATTATTTCCATCAGTTTTCAGTGTTGCTTTTCCATGTTAGATTAAATGTTTTTCAGACAGATATATTACTTTAATAGTACTTGGTACTTTATCACTTTAATTCTTATAACTCGAAAGGCTTTACAAGGGAAAGTTATTATTCTCCCTGTTTTACTCATAGGGAAATTGACAAAAACACATTGTGACTGAAGTTGATGTCCTCCTAAATGCAGATAATTACTAAAATGCTTGTTGATAAACATGCTAGTTAGTTTATCTTCCAAAAAGAAATACCACATCATATATCTGCTTTCTCAAAATACCAAAATAATTTAAACATAGCCCCCATGGTTCAGTTTCATAGGGGTTTTTTTATTGGCCTAAGATACTGACAGTTGAAATTGATGGAATGTTCCTTAAAAGTAGTCACAGTTTTAAAGCAAAATTAAAACTGTGACCATTTCTATGTTACATACAAATGGTTAGGGGGGGCTAGAGCATGTAAAGTAGAAGGAGCTGCTGAAGTATCTCAGTTAATCTAGCCTACAGAGAAACAGCTAAGGGAGCATTTAATTCCTGACTTGGCTTCATAAAGGGTTGGAGAATTTACCTAGTAGACAGGAATCCCTTGCAGGTGCACATCAGGCTGAAAGAAGAATATTACAGATGGCAGCATGTATTCTGTAGGGAAGACAATTTTTCATCGTGAAAGTGGTTGTACACTACAGCAGGTTGCCTAGACAGGTTGGGGAATCTCCATCCTAGGAGATCCCTTTTTAACTTAATTGGAAAAGCTTCTCAGTCGCCCAACTTAACTTTGAAGTTGTTCTTGTTCAAGCAGGAGGTAGGACTCCAGAGATTGCTTCCAATTGAAAGTATTCTTTGATCTTTTGGAAAAAATCAGAAAAAGCAAAACTTAACCTTGGGCCTTAATTTTCCTGTTGCATCTCTTCCCATTGCTAAAGAGCCATATTCAGTACTCTGAATATACTATGTAATATTTCAAGGTATATGAAAGTCCTTTCTGTTCATAAGACAGCCTTTGTAAATCTGAAGTAACTCAAAATACCAGTGTGTTTGAACACCAATCTAAATAGTATTGCTACAACAAAACTGTAACCACTGATTTATTTTATTTTTGTTTTTACGCAGCTAACACAAATCTTAAGAACGGGACAGAACACATGGGAAAGTAAAAATATCCTTGCTGTTTCATTTGCTCCACTAGTGCAACCAAACAGAAATGACAACGGCAAACATGACACTGTGGGACTGCGTAAGTGTCATTTGTGCTCACTCTCTTTGCAGCTCCCTTTGATGGGTGGTTAAAGTGCCTGTCGGTGGTTGTCTGGAAGTGGGGAGACCGTGCTGTAGAGACATAAACTAAAAGAACAGGAACATAATGTTCAGCAAAGCACATGTTTTTGTGCTCCTGGCACGTGTTCTGTGTTCCTAAACAATTAATATTCTGAACTAAAACTGTAGTGCTTCCAGCTTATTTTTCCAGTCTTTCACTTATAGGTTCAGGATTTTTACTTCTAGCGAGGTATAGATAAAATAGCAAAACTACTGTTAGGTCTGTCAGGAATGCTAACTTTCTGATGGTCTCCCAGAGGAAAGTATTTCTTC